GGCGAATCAATTCATCCGAAAAGAGAACGTCCTATGTCATTCTTCTCCCCTTATTTTCCCTCCCTCTAATCGAAGCTCCTCCAGCTTCGACATGATCGATGTCCTCCAGTTGGAAGAGATAAACGTTCGCGTGGAATATTTATAAGAACATGCACAGAATAGTTAAGCCTGGTATAGCCGTGGAAAGGGTTGACCGTGCACAGCCAGCTGAATGATTCATCGAAGCGATCAGCTTTTAACGGCGATGCCTCGCGCCGATCTATTTACGACGGCGGCACGCTCGTTCGATTCGCGAGCGATCTCTCGCTTAATAAATACGGAATAAAGCGCAGAGAAGGTGGATCACTAGGGGTAAATATTCATGGCCGGGTGTTCGGTTTCGACATTTTTGTCCCTCTTTATACGCCGGATCGGCCGGATAATTGCTGGCGATTTTTAATTAAGTTTGAGCGATTCGGGAAATTTCAGATTTTACCGCGATAATTTCTTTATTCTATAAGATATGTATTCTTTTTGCAATTTTTTGCCGCTTGTTGGAAAATCTGAAAATTTCCTTTTGCTAAGAAACTTTGTTTTCTTTTTAATTTTCTTAAAGATCGAGAGTCTATAAGATATGTACTTTCTTCTGCAACTCAAAATGTCTTTCAGCATTTAGTATTCGAAAATTTCATTTTTTCACAAACCTTGCTTTTTTTTATTTTCTTTAAGATGGAAATTTCGATCGAATGTCGAACTTTGGACAGCCTCGTAGATATTCTATAAGCTACATATTTTCTTTTTCAACTATTCGCTGTCTTTCCGAATTCGAAAATTTCATTTATCCACAAATCTCGTTTTTTTTTTTTAATTTTCTTTAGCATCGTAATTTCAATAGAATATCGATCTTCGGTAGACCTAATAGAATAAACGCGAAAAGCTGCGATATTCGACAGATCCTCCGCGACAGCCTCGATTTTTTCGAGGACCCGAGAGCATCGGTGATCTAGTTCGTTCGTCGAACAGTGTCGATTGAACCGACATCGCGAACTCTCGAAAGCAAGATAGAAGGACAGAGATGCGAGAAAAATAGAAGAGAATTGGAGGAACGGAAGAATAATGGTAAACTCGGAGTTTAAACCCGAGCAAACAGCAAGAAGAAACGCGGAAACTTGGAACGAAGGCAGAGACGCCTCGAATCTATCCATTATCCACGGATCTTTGTGTCTTTCAGTGGCTCTTCTGTCCAATTCGAACCGATTAATCGTCCTCCTCGAAGTGAAGAACCCTCGGTTACTACTTGATTCTTCTTTCCTTTTTTTTCAAGTAAACGCCAAGAAATGGAAGAAGTAGTCGGTGAATGGAAGTGGAATACCACGCGAGCCGCGTGTCCTACTGTCGCGAAATTCGCTTGAAAAATGAAATTCCGCGAGCTGACGGCGGCAGTCGTTGCGAGACGCTGTCGCTGCGGATTCCGCGCATACGTCGGCGAAACTCGCGTTAGACAGTTGGAATACCGCGGCGAAATGAAGAGGAGAGGACAACTTTTCGTTTTCCTTGCCAATATTGCCCGCGGTTTCTTCATTCTGACTGATGCTGCTCCGGTGTTTAACTCGGTTCGTGGAAACACGCGATTTTCTCCGGAAATAACGCATCGTCGGAGGAGAATCGTGAAGATTAATCGATTAACGATTAACGCATCTCGAAAGGAGGAACAGTTTGGGAATTTTTTTCATAAGGAACCTCTGAACGAAAATCTTCAATTTTTTTTAGAGAATATGAACGTAACTTTCAGCTTTCTTCTCGAATTTTTGAAAAGTAAAGATACACTACACTGATGCATCTCAAAAAAAGGAAAAGTTTGGCAATTTTTTTCATAGGGAATTTCTAAACGAAAATCTTCAATTTTTTTTTAGAGAATATGAATGTAACTTTCAGCTTTCTTCTCGAATTTTTGAAAAGTAAAAATACACCATCTTGATTCATTCCAAAAAAAGGAAATGTTCTGGAATTTTTTTCATAAGGAATCTGTGAACGAAAATCTTCAATTTTTTCAGAAGATGTAAATGTAACTTTCAGCTTCCTTCTCGAATTTTTGAAAAGTAAAGATACACTACACTGATGCATCTCAAAAAAAGGAAAAGTTTGGCAATTTTTTTCATAGGGAATTTCTAAACGAAAATCTTCAATTTTTTTTTAGAGAATATGAATGTAACTTTCAGCTTTCTTCTCGAATTTTTGAAAAGTAAAGATACACCACACTGATTCATTCCAAAAAAAGGAAAAGTTTGGGAATCTTTTTCATAAGGAATCTGTGAACGAAAATCTTCAATTTTTTCTGAGGATGTAAACGTAACTTTCAGCTTTCTTCTCGAATTTTTAAAATGTAAAAATGTTACAAAATGGTTGAATTTGAGATTCAGCTAGAACTCGCGAAGCTTTCGGTTACAAGCAGGCTAGAAGGATAAAAAAAAATGTGAAGAATAAAGGAAGCGTTCTGAAGGGAGCATATAAGGAACGAGCTCTCAAGATTTCACGAGCTTGTTCTTTGCAAAGAGCAGACACAGTGATTAATGGAGAACGCAAAGTATGAACTTCCAAGGTTTTACAAGTTTTTTCCCAAGATTTTGCTAGTATCTCGCTAATTTCCCAAGATTTTACAAGCTTTCATAATAGGAGTGGCTAACGTTCGTCTGTAAGCTCAAGTATAGTGCTCGAAATTGTTAGAAAAAGTAACTGAAATTAACCCTTTGTGCTTCAACGCCGACGTGTGTAATTACTTCGAAGAACATTAACGTGCAAAATTCAAATTAATGCAAATTAATCACAAGCAAAAATCAAATATCTTCCTTTTTTCAAAATGAAACTTTGAATTTTCAAATGCTTCACTGCAAAAGTATAATGGAAAAAAATGCTTGGAGTGAAAAGGGTTAACAATATGATATAATCACTGATAAGAATGAATAGCAAAATTAAAGAAACAAAAAGTAGAGTCACGAGGATTATTTTTAAGATAACACCTCGAAAATCTCCAAACACCAATAATCACACACAAACCACAAAAAGATACACAAAACATCAGCACAAATTCTTCGTCGAACACAATTTTTCCACCAATCACCAAAGAATACTAAACGCTTTTCCTCTCTTTCTTTCACAATCCATTTATCCCCGTTTTCCCTTCCGAAATTCGCACACAGCGGCGCGATTTGATAATTCGAGGGTTAACGCGCACCGCTCCGGTTCCGCTAGAATTGATTCGTCGGCGTTGGATCGATGGTTACTGAGATTGATCGTGATTCTCTCATTTCGCGGGCCAAGATTGACATTGACGTGCGGTATTTTTCTTGGTTCCGTGTGGAATCGGGTTAATTTCACGCTTAACTGGCCGCCGCGTGCGGCCTTTCTTGTTTCTCCCCGTGGCTTTGCCCGTAACACATTCGCCCGGCTATTAACCGGGAATTTCTGTTAACAGAGCGCTGAAGGCTGGCGTCAGGTGTCCGTTGTTCGCGCTCCTGCCGGATATCCGCTTCGAGAACGTCGAGCTGGTCACGCTTCTTGGCGCATTGGAAGGCCTCTACGTAGTGAGTAATTAAACTGCCTCGAATCGGTGAATGATAACGATTGAAACGTCCCGCGGAGTCCCTCGTTTCACACACGAACGTGTGTAGAGGTTTATCTTGTCTGTACGGTGTCGAAGAATCCACGTCGAAAACAATTTCATTAAAGAAGGGAGATTTGAGATAAGCTGTACGGAAAGGTCGGAGGTCTCTGCCTCTGTTACACGCCATCGACGAAAAGTTTCGAGGTACCGGGGCTTCTTATGACTATTCGACGTTGGAAAATTCGATGATTGCCTGACGGTGGCGTACGCTATGGACGGAAACTTTGGGAGAACTAAATGTTCAAATAGAAAGGAAGGAAGGTAGCAGTTTCAAGAAATATTTAATATTGTTCGTTGCTCTATTGAACCCTCCAATATTATTTTCAAAATTATTCTTAATTTATTTGAAATTTAATCAGAACTCGTGAAAATTGACAAGTGGTCCCAGAACATTGAGAGGTAGTTGAAAATTTTGCGATCGCTAAACATTGAAATAGAAAGCAAGAAAGTTAGCAGGTTTAAGAAATATTTTATATTTTCTGTTGCTCCATTGCACCCTCCAATATTAATTCTCAATTCATTCTTAATTTGTTTAAAATTTACTCGATTTTCGTGTAAATTGACAAGTGATCCCAAATCACTGACAGACACTTGCTAAAAAAAAATCACAAGTCGAGGATTCAAGATTGGGACCACTAAACCTTAAAAAGAAAGCAAGGAAGTTACTAGTTCCAAGAAATATTCAATATTTTCTCTTGCTCCCTTGCACCCTCCAATATTAATTCTCAATTCATTCTTAATTTATTTAAAATTTACTCGATTGTCGTGTAAATTGACAAGTGATCCCAAATCACTGACAGACACTTGCTAAAAAAAGTACAAGACGAGGATTTAAGATTGGGATCAGTGAACGTTGAAGTAGAAAGCAAGGAAGTTAGTAGTTCCAAGAAATATTCAATATTTTCTGTTGCTCCATTGCACCCTCCAATATTAATTCTCAATTCATTCTTAATTTATTTAAAATTTACTCGATTTTCGTGTAAATTGACAAGTGATCCCAAATCACTGACAGACACTTGCTAAAAAAAGCACAAGACGAGGATTTAAGATTGGGACCAGTGAACGTTGAAGTAGAAAACAAGGAAGTTAGCGGTTCCAAGAAATATTCAATATTTTCTGTTGCTCCCTTGCACCCTCCAATATTAATTCCAAAACCATTCTCAATTTCCTTGCTCCTGTAAATCGACCAGTGCTCCCAAAACACTAGCACACACATTATCTAAAAAAATCACAAATCAAGGATTCAAGATCAAAACACACCGTCATCTTTGTGTATCAACATCAAAACTTTCTTCAAACTAAACACCCGAAGAACTGGTAAGAACAGAAAGTGAGCGGCGTGCGACAGATGTATCAGAGGCATCCCGGAAGAAAGTGGAGCAGCGGAAGATTAGTAACGTCAACGTCGCTGATAAACGCGCGCCGCTCAATTGTAGGCAACACGGCTGGTTAAAGCGTTTCCCAGATAGTCGGTCGAATTGTGGTCGCTCGCGCGCCATTTAAACCAATCAAACAAAGACAACACAGAGAAAGCCGCCTAGCTAGCTCGGCTGGCACGGGCCACGTTCGCAGAATAGGAAGCAGCCTGGCCTGTGTTTGAAAGGAATTCAAGCTCCGTGTGTTTCACCCCGGGCTCTAGTCTGACTGGCTCTTCCAACCTACCTCTCTCTCTCCCCCTAGTTCCCTAAACCGACCTAAATCCACCCCGAAACGACGTGTTAGTGTCGACTCTCCGAATGGTTAGACTCGAATCGAGAGACTGGCCCCGAACGGGCGTCTTAATCCATAACTAACGACACGAATCGTCGCGTCCAGACGCTACGAAACGAGCTAATACTTCGGAAACTCTTGCCCGAGACACTTGCCTGACGCTCTGGAACGGTTGGTTCTTCGTGTAAACGATAGAGATTCACCGTCGTTATCCCCCGTCTCCTGAGGAAACGTCCAACGTTAATCGACGGCTCGAAAGCAATCTTCGGCGAAAAGTTTGCCCGCTGATTTATTTACGGGCAACGCTCGGTATATAGCCTGTGGAGATTCTGTCGACGGGTCAAGGTCGCCTTCCCCCACTCCTGCTACTTCGTGGCTCTCTGCTGTGTGTGATTGAGAGAGAGAGGGAAAAGTGTCGATATTCTGGTTGGTGTGTGTTGTTTTTACTGATTTTTTTTTTGAGATTGCAACGATTTCCGTTTTTGTTTTCATTGGGTTAAGGGGGCATTCGGTAGAAAATTAACTATTAGCTATTTTTGAGATAAAATTTCGAAATTTTATGGTTTTTGTATCATTCTTCACGTTGAAGTGAAATTTATATGTAGAAATCGACGGAAAAATTTTTATGGACCTAAACGGGAATCGAACCCGGGACCGCCAGCGTAGCAAGCCGAGGCTTTGCGCACTACGCCAACTACTCCCTCTCTATTCTCCCTTCGAGGTTCCCTATTTGAGTACGGAGGAAAAATTTTCTTTTTCCAAAATTTGTCAAATTATTAAATCAATCTTCTTATATGTGTAATATTATTTACATATATTGTGAACAAAATTTCAGGTCAGAATCTTTATTTTTGTGTCGAACTTACAAGGTTTTTCATTTTGATGTCACAACTAAAATTCTCCTGCTCCGTGTGTTCGAAGGGTAAAAAATTTTGACGATCTGAAAATCTGACGGTTTGAAAAATCGAGTTAACACGTTCGCTTTGAATGACGCCAATTGGCGAAATTGTTTACGTTGCTATTGTGCGGGTGACGCCGTTTGACGTCATCAATTCTACACCAAATCAATCAAAAAAGTACAAACCGCGTCTAGCGAAGGTGTTTATTTTTGGAGCCGCAGCGAACGTGTTAAAACGGAAGAAAATTACGGGAAAAGGTAGTCTTAACCCTTTCGCTACGGCAGATTTTAACGACTGACGGTGAATTTTCCTTATTTCGTCCGTGTCCTTTTAAAATTCGCTTTATTAAATTAAGATTGAAGTGCGTAAGGATAAAATTAAGTATTGAATCAAGGTGATAAGTGCACAAAAGGCTCGAAAAAATTTCAAAACGTCTATAGACACCATTTAGTGACGAAAGGGTTGAACAAAATTTCTTATTCTTGTCGTATCGTTTTAAAAGTCAGAAATGCGTAAGGATAAAATTAAGCATTGAGTCAAGGTGACAAGTGCACCAAAATGCATCGATGCAATAGTAACGAAAGGGTTAAATTGTCTATAGCCTGCGAGGAGTCGATCTATCGTTGAAGGTCGCTCGTTCCCCCGGCATTCATCTCTGTCTAAAATTTCGTCTACGAAGGGCTGGTGGAAACGTTTCGTTGATGGAATATACAGGTTATCAGAGCGAATAAAATCCCAGGGGTTTCCGGTTCGACGACATTTTGAGTAAACAGCGGCGGATGACAGGTATCAGCAGCGCAACGCGCGGTCAACAGAGCTATTAAACAACACCTGTCAGGAACAGCGGCGATGCGATCTGCCGCTGATGGATAAGTGTGTCTTACGAGTTCCCATTGTTCATAGACGTCTTCCCTGGGGTACGTTGTTTCACCCTCGATTTCGTGTTCCCGTCGTTACACGCGGGATCACGCGCCTCGTGTACCACTGACAATTCGGAATTACGATCGGAAACGTGGCGTGTTGTGCCGCGAGATTGGCCGCTTGACACTGGTCAATCGTATCGGCGCGGTATCTTGCTTGCGAAATTATCGATAACGCTGCGTGGAGACAAGATTAATTAGCAGGGATAACCGATAGTGTGTGTGTGTGGGCGCGTGTCACTGTCCTGTCGAACTGTCGACGCGCGTAAGAATCTGGGTTAACGTCGTGTTTCATTAGCTTCGAGGTGGTGAACAGATATTGCACATTTCAGCGTTATTTCAAAGGGGGATTTTTCTTGTCCGATGGAACGTTCGGGGGTAGTTTATTCTGATCGATTATTTTGCTAGATTTAGTTTATTGGTGAAGCGAGGATTTACTTTGTATGGAAGAAACGTGAATTTGGATGCGAAGGGGTGAAATCCTTTTTTTGATCAATATTTAAGACTTGGTTTGCAATGTAATTTTACATTTATTGTTAACGTCGTCCTTGTTATACGAGGAACACTACAAGAATTTACAAAAAGAATCTTAATTAAGTAGTCGTATAGGGGTTTGCAGGTAAAGGGTTGAAATCCTTCTAATCAATTTCAAAGTCGAAATGCACATTCAAAATTTTCACTTTGCAATACAAATTCACACTTATCATTATCATCGTCTTATTACACAAAGAACACTACATACAATTCATAAAAAGAATCTTAGTTAAATACAGTATATTCTCACAAGTGTCAGACCGCAAGGAAGCTAAACCTGACACTCGTAGAGTCAGGGACTACGTTTTCGAGCCTCGCGCCCGCCTTTGTAGTTTGCCGAACGTAGCCAAGGACAAGGAATAAAAGATAAGCATGAAACGTGAGTCGAGGCAACCAAGCGATTTAAATATCAACTTTCTCAATTTTACGTTATTTTCAACTTTTTCAATTTTACGTTTTTTTTCCCGAAATTTTTCTTAACATATTGATGAGATTTTTCGGATGAAAATGATATCAAACACGATATAATTTGAACAACATTTACTTATTAATACGTTCACTGTCGCGCCAAATTTACAGGTTGCTGTCAGGCCGCCACAAGAATTATGCTTTATAATTTTTTTTTTCAATTGAAAATAATGTCTAGCTAGCTATGACGTTCAAAATTTTTAGTTGACAACATTTAGTTTATTTTAATTATTCTAAACATTTGAGGCACTCCAGTCACTGATGACCACCATGACCATATCGAGGAAACAATCTAACGTTAAAACTTATTGAGTGATTAATTTAGACATTTAATATCAGACTTTAAATATTCTCCTTTCGGTTCTTTTAAATACTATTAAATAATTTCT